TTTAAGCCATTTCAACTTGAACTGCGGGTTTAAAAAGGCTGCTTTAGCAGCATTTACTCCTGGTCCACGAACATTAAAATAATCTGTAAATCGATCCTCAAGATTTTCTAATAGATCAGACAATAGTGGTTTACACAACTCGATATCTGAACTTTCTATAACATCAGCCACTGTGATTTTAAAATAATGTCGACAATACACATCCAAAATAACAGTTATTCTCTGCTTGTAGTTTATCGATTGCCTTGGCGAGTACAGTGGACCATTTCATATATTACTCTACATAATCAGGATTGATTTGGTTTAAAACGAATTGCTTTGGCTTCCAATGACTATCCAGAATTCATGTAGAAGGAAGGGGTCTTTCAATTTACAAGTTTATGCAAAACAATCATATAGAGTGTTCCAGCAGGTTATAACAGGTCTCTTAAGACAGCACTCTACATATTTATCTAAAGATTCCCTTTTTCTCTGAAAAAAAACCCACTTAACCAAACTGATCGAAGAAAGACTGATATCAAATTTTTATTACCGTAAAAGATGTTGGGATGTTAGTTTGATGTGTATCTATTGAAGAAAGCATTTTCGCCCAAGTAACCCAAGTAACCCAGATAACCAAAGTAACCCAAGTAACCCATGTAACCCAAGTAACAAAACTGATCCAGAGGAGAATAAATCAGGTTTTTTTATCGTAAATGATGTTGGGTTGCTATATTAACTGGTACCTGTTGAAGGAAGCATTTTTGGCCAAATAATCCAAGTAACCCATATAACCAATATAACCCATATAACCCATATAACCCAAGTAACCCAAGTAACTCATATAACCCAAGTAACCCAAGTAACCCATGTAACCCATATAACCCAAGTAACCCATATAACCCAAGTAACCCAAGTAACCCAAGTAACTCATATGACCCAAGTAACCCAAGTAACCCCAAGTAACCCAAGTAACCCATATAACCCAAGTAACGCATGTAACCCATATAACCCAAGTAACCCAAGTAACTTATATAACCCAAGTAACCAAAGTAACCCCAAGTAACCCAAGTAACCCATATAACCCATATAACCCAAGTAACCCAAGTAACTCATATAACCCAAGTAACCAAAGTAACCCCAAGTAACCCAAGTAACCCATATAACCCATATAACCTAAGTAACCGATATAACCCAAGTAACTCAAGTAACCCCATATAACCCAAGTAACCCAAGTAACCCAAGTAACTCATATAACCCAAGTAACTCAAGTAACTCATATAACCCATATAACCCATATAACCCAAGTAACCGATATAACCCAAGTAACTCAAGTAACCCCATATAACCCAAGTAACCCAAGTAACCCATATAGCCCATATAGCCCAAGTAAGCATACTAATCGAGGGAAGACATAAATCAAATTTCTTTTATCGGGAAAGAAGTTGGGTTGTTAGTTTAACTTGTACCTGTTAAAGGGAGTATTTTCGGCCGAGTTATCCAAGTAACTCAAGTAACCCATATTACCCAAGTAACCCAGATAACCCAAGTAACCCAAATAACCTAACTGATCGAGGGGAGACTTATATACAATTTTAATTTCCGGAAATGATGTTGGGATGTAAATAATTTGAGTTGTACCGTTTGAAGGGACATTATTTGCCGAGTAACCGAAGTAACCTAAGTAACCCAACTGGTCGAGGGGAGACTTAAGGTGGGAGCGATACCTCAATCCTGCATTTAAAAACAATTTATTAAAAATTAAGAAAAAATATTGTTGAGCCATGTTCACATTTCGGAACGATAAATATTAGGAATAATGAATGTTCGGAATGTGTAAAATTCTGAATGTTTGAAAATCGGAATATTGAAAACGGAACATGAAAAATTTTGAAAAACAAAATTTTGGAATAAAAAATTTGTTCATTCCGACCTCTTTCAACCAGCCTCCTTGGTATCAGTGGGTATAGTTTTTGCCTGCTGATACAAGGTGTGCCATAGGGCGTGGGTTGGATCCCGAGGGGGAATTATCGAGCCGCGTTTTTGCCTGGTGTGGTCGAGCCCGTGCCCCAGGTGGAGCGGGTACCACACAAAAAGAAGACCCGGGTTATGTCATCAACCTCCAAAGCGGTAAAAATCCCGATCACTGTGCGAGCTGAAAGCGAAAAAGATAACCATAAGTAGGAGCCAGAGGCGAGGACCCACAAGGCTGCCAATAGACGGAGCACAACACTCCCATGATGAAATCAGAAGCGAGAACCACACTCACAAGATGGCGCCGGATGCGAGAGCCTAGGCTCGCTGGTGGACGCATGATGGCACCTGAAGCGAGAACCACACTCACAAGATGACAACAGAAAGGAGTATCAAAAACTCACGGAGACTCACAGGGTAGCGCCGGAAGCGAGAACCACACTCACAAGATGGCACTAGACCGGGAGTCCTAAAAATACTTAACTCAGGAGGAGACGCCAGCAATGTGTGACCAAGTAAAAAAAGACAGCTCTGAAAAAGGGGATACGACAATCGCACAGGATCGGAGGTTCACCAAGTAGAAAAAGATGAGTCCCTGAACCCCTAATCGTCGCATATCACTATGCATCGGATGGGGGATGTATGGAAAAAACGACTAACATAGAAGTAGCAGAAATGCTCAACTAACCCCAGCCCACAGAGCCAATCAACTTGGCCAACATGAATATATTTAATAAAGTTACTAGGTCGCCAAATAAAATAAAGAAATATAGTCAGAATAAAACAAAACTCAGTTCAGGTACCTGTCAAATCAGATATCACAGTGCCAAATCTACAATTACTGCCAGTCAACTCTACAATAAACAACGCTGATGAAAGAAAGCAAAATGCCAAATGTAATAATAAGGAACATGAACTCGAGTATACTAATCTGAACAAGCTTAATGCCTACAACCTAAATCTACCAAAGAGTGATGAAGAAATGCAAATTAATTATGATGGTGCTCAAAGTCTAGCGGCTCAGATGGAGGCCAGCAATAAATATAAAAATTTTAAGTAATATGGATAATTTTAAACTCAAGATCCTTCAATGGAATGCGAGAGGCATCAAGCATAAACCAGAAGCTGTAAAACTTTTAAATGCATACGACATTGTCGTTATCTTAGAAAGTTTTCTAAAAGGATTTAATTCTGTCAGGTTCGACAGACCCAAGAATGCTAAAGGAGGCATTCTTTTCTTAATCAAAAATCACATACTGTACGATTCGCTGGAAATAGACACCAATCTCCATTTACAACAAATTGAAATTGCTGCAATAAGTGTGGTCACTGAATCAGGCTTTCTCAGTATTATAGCCTACTATAGAAGCCCAACGCACCACGTAAACGCTTCTATCTCACAGTGGCGAAATGAGTGGAAAGCTCTCATGGATGCAATAGATAATCTGGATAAAATCATTTTTCTAGGAGATTTCAATGCACACAATACATGGTGGGGAAGTGAGAAAAACTGCCCTTATGGACAGGCCATCTACAACATTGACTCAGAAAAATTTGCACTCCTAAATGACCCTTCTCCCACTCATTTTACTCTATCAGACAAAGGCTACAGTCAATCACACATTGACCTGACCTTTATATCCACCAATCTCTTGCTGATATTAACCCATTGGCAAGTGCTCGACGATCCATGGGGTAGCGATCACTACCCTATCGAGATTGCTGGTAACGTCAATATTCAGTTAAGTCAAAAAATTGACTATAGATTCAATTTAAAAAAACTGAACTGGGATACTTTCAATGATTTGCTCAATGCAAAAAGAAACACATTTAGCAACATTGAATTTTTAAACTCAAACGCCATCGACAGATATGAGCAATTTGTAAATACCATAAATACTTGTATCATAGAATCATTGCCAAAGAGTAATTTTAAGAAGAATAATGTACAAACCAAGCCTGACTCTAAACCTCGAACATCATGCGTATGGTGGAACAGTGATTGCGATAAGGCAATTCGAATCAGAAAAGCCAAGTTCAAATCACTTAAGTTCTACTGCGACATGGAGAAACTCATTGACTATAAAAAGACTCTAGCAATGACTAGGCGCACCTTAAAAGAAGAAAAAAGAAAATCTTTTAGAAAATTCTGAGAACCCATTACAAGCAAAACCAAGATTTCAAAAGTATGGGCCAAAGTGAAACTCTTTAAAAACGGCCTAAACCGACCAGCTACTCTTTCCAGCAATAAAAATGCAAATGCAAGTGCCCAAGAAACTCTTAACGCCATGTGTTCTCCAAAAGACGAATCTCTACTGCCTCCGCCAGACAAAATAAGAAGTATTATGCATGAAGACAATAATCAAGATCAAGAACAACATCTCATTTCACAATCTTTTACCTTAGAGGAGCTGGTCGCTCCAGGGTTCGACAAAATTGATTACAACATATTGTCATTCTTACCAGAATATTTTTTGAGAGTTCTATTGGGTATCTACAATGATTTATACGACTCAGGAACTTTTCCAGATTCATGGTACACCTACCTCGTTGCCTTCATTCCCAAGGCTTGTAGGAAAAAAGTGCGACCCATCTCTCTGGCATCTTGTCTCTTAAAAGTAATGGAACGCATGATAAACACTCGGTTAAACTTTTGGTGCGAAACAAACGATATTTTTTCCTCGACGCAATATGGATTTAGAAGAGATAAGTCATGCGCAGATAACGTTGCAATTATCACAAATGATATTCATCAGGCCTTTTTCAAAAAAGAAAGTTTAACGGCGCTATTTCTAGACATAAAAGGAGCATTTGACAATGTCATTCCAGATCTCCTTTTGCTAGATCTTAAAAACCTCAACTTACCTTCGAAACTTATCAAGTTTATCTACAACTTAACTTACCAAAGGAATGTACTACCCATAGAAACTCACCTGGGACCATCGCGCTCAGTGAATAAAGGCCTACCTCAAGGAAGCGTCTTGAGTCCTGTTCTACATGCATTATACACGAGAAACATAGACACATTAGCTAAATAACCGGTCAAGATGCTACAATTTGCGGACGACGTCGCAATCTACGTACCTGGTAGCGATATTCAACACTCTCTCTCACTGTTGGAAACAACATCTAAAAAACTCAGCGACCACTTGAAGTCAAAAGGCCTGATTATTGCACCAGAAAAATGTCAATTAATAATCTTTAACAAGACCTGCAGAAAATTAAAGCTGCGATCATTGAACATTGATGGCAAAACAATTTTCCCGTCGGACACTGTAACATTTCTGGGCATCACGCTCGACAAAAGGCTAACTTGGCAATCACATATAAATCAAAAGATATCCAAAGCACACAGCGCTGTTTGCATCCTCAGCTGTCTGAGAAGAACCTGGTGGGGAGCAGATCCGTCAACGATGCTCATTCTATACAAATCGCTCGTGAGATCCAAACTCGAATATTGTGGCTTTCTTATCCAACCATGTACACCAAACAATTTCGACAAACTGCAAAAACTACAAAACGTTTGTCTCAGAATTGCGATGGGATATCGCAACAGCACACCATTGAATGTGATTTCTACAGAAACCAAAGTCCCTTCATTTTTTTGTAGATTTAAAATTCTCAGTTTCAAGTTTATTCTCAAGCAAATGTCTACATATAATAATCACATCATTGAGCAATTAGAGGCATTGAAGGAAATATCGGAGACTCTACTATATGAAAGCAACCACTGTAAACCCATGATTTTAGAAAGTTACAATGAATGCTGGTTCTTTAATCTTTCTATTTATAGATCTGCCATAAATCACAACTATTGCAATCCCTTTTTCTTTGCATTCACCGCTCCATCAGTAGATCTCTCCTCGGGAAAAATCATCAGAAATTCAGAAAATCCCAGTGAATCTTTTAAAAGCTTGTACATCTCGAATGTGCACGAACAGGTCATTGATATATATACAGACGGCTCTAGGCTTGACTCCAACGAAGAAAATGAGAATGGTTTTAAAAGTCGATGCGGCTTTGCTGCATGGTCTGACAGTGATTCTTTCCAAGTATCTTATAGAATTCACGATCTTGCATCTATCTTTACAGCAGAATCATCAGCCATAAATACAGTCTTGGATAAGATACTCAACCATGATGGAACCCAATATAGAATTTTCACAGACTCTGAATCGGTACTGAAAGCTCTTTCTTCGGCTGCAAGCTTAAAAACAAAATCCTTTTTGATATCAAACATGAAATCTAAATTATATAATATCAACCAACAAAACAAGAAAGTGGAATTTATATGGGTCCCGTCCCATGTGGATATAAGTGGAAATGAACTTGCGGACTCCGCAGCGAAGACTGTGACGGAATCTGGCACGCCAGAACAAATAGACATTCCCAACACAGACATTTTTTCCTACTTGAAACAGAAAAGCTTGCAAGAAGATGCATCAACTGACATTGATACCTCACAAAGTACTGGAAGCTACTTCTTTAAAAATTATTTCAAGCCTAAATCTCAGCCATGATTTAAGGATTTCAAAAACCTAAGCAGGAAAGCCTGCTGAAACAAAATACTGTGATTGCGACAACCAGTCTGAGGAAACCATAGATCATATACTGTGGAAATGTAAAAAGTTTGCCTCAGAAAGACTAATATTAAAAAAAAAAAAAATTGACAGAGAATAATTACCACGAACCGTACTCTGCTATACCATTTTTATCAAGACTCGAACCAAATACTTTAATTCCAATATCAGTATTCTTATGTAGTATTAATAATAGTTATTTATGTAACAAGTGCCCAAAAGGCGTTTTTGGGCACGAGTGTGCCGAAAAAGACACGAGTGCCGGCGATGCCGGCACGAGTGGGTGTTTTTCCCGCACACTGTGCGCAAAAAGCTGGGCACGTGTTGCATACAAAATTTATGCAATAGTAGGCGAAAAATACGTTCATTTAAATAAGGCGTTTTACCGCACACCCGTGTCCAAAATGAGGCATTTTACCGCACACAAGTGTCCAAAAACGCTTTTGCGCACTAAAAAATGTGCGAAAAAAGACATTTTTCGTCATACTATTGCATAAAAACATTTAATTTTAGTGGTAATGCGTATATGCACCTACAATCTAGTTATAAATAATTCTTTTCTTCGTTCAAAATAGAATAAATCTATAAAATAATATACATCTTAATGTATATGACATATGTATATATTTGCAAGCTATGTTATTGTATTTATTATATTATATTATTGTATTTATATTTGTGTATGCGTGTGTGTACACAGGTAAAAGATAAAAGAAAAAAAAAGTGTGAGTTTATGTATATATTTAAATCTATCTTACTTTGTACTCTACTTTATTAGTTTCTGTACTTTAGATTTTAAGTATTATTTACTGTATTCAAAAAAAATTTTGTGACCAACGCCATCTGGCTATGTATCTAACGATGAGGCCAATAAACTACTACTACTACTACTATCGAGATTCATGAGAGAATGACAACGATATACCTTTGAGTTGTTTCATTCATTTTTTCTAAATAATCGTAAAAGTATCGGGACTAAATAGGCAGTACATCACGATACAGTTAAAATTTTAAAATTTCGATCATGGCACTGGGAAGCTGAGGAAAAATTCTATCAAAAAAGTCAATAAAAAAAAATTTTTTTTTGGAGATTTTAGGTACCTTCCCCCTTAAGCACCATCGCCAGTGCCTGGTTGGAGGCGGTACTACAATGAAGAGGGGGACGTAGACCAAAAGGTCAAGGTCCTCTGGATTTTATTTTTCCCGCTGATTCTATTTTTTGTTGATTATCACTATAGAATAAAAATTTTAATGCAATCCATACAGATTCAACGGTAAATCAATCCTTCCTCGAAGTTGGAGCGATTACGCGTCAAAAATGTTTTTTGGTGGATAAACGGGCTCAGCCTCGAATCTTTAACACAAATTTGTAGAATACTTAATTTCCAAGGATATGTGGATTCATTATGTGAAGAATTAATTCCCACAGTTCGAGCAGTATTTGGAGATAAGGATGTCATCAATATTATCGAAGATAATCTTTCCATCCACACAGCAACTATTGTAAAAGAATAGTGGAGAAACAATCCTCGCTTTCGAAAACTTGAGCTTCCTCTTCGATCTTCGTAAATCAATATAATATAAGGTAAGAAGGCTGCACCTATCATGGAAAAGAATGGGTCTGATATTAAGTATTAAGAAAAAATAATAAGTCATTGGTTTAGGTCCAAGCTCGCTCGTAGCTGGAGAGATCGAGAAATCAAAGCGTTTTAAGTGTTTCAGGCCTTTGCAAACTGGAGGGGTTATAAGCCTACCTGCTATGATTGAGAAACCACTTGTACCGATACTCTGAAGAATGGTCTTCTTCTTGCGCGGTACAGGTTTTCGTTGGAATCGCGCCACTTGGCGGTCGAGTCAGAAGCTTCGGATCGTAGAAGTTGGGGAAGTTGGCGAAATAATGAGGCGAGTTGTCTATTTATGACCAAGTTCAATAATGACAGCAAATGGCCCTAGTTCAAATCTCTCGGAACTCGTTCAGCACAAGTCCGAGTACGAATGTCGATGTGCTGAAAGACGACTGCTTCTGTGTAGGCCAAAGGCGCTCGCTTATTAGGGGCCTTCCATAAATTACGTAAAGGTCATTGGGAGGGGGGGGAAGTATTTGAAAAATTACGTAAGGAACAGCATGCTAAAACACCCAAACTCGAGCGATTGTAGTTGCATGTAATATAAGTTTACGCGACTAGGCTAGTATCTACGATAAAACAGTTTCGATGCTCGATTTCGTTATTATTGAGTGAGTGAAAGATCCCTTCAATAAAACAGATCTGTACCAAAATTATTACAGAGCCTTCTTAAGAGCATATCCAATATTTCAAAGGAAAAAACTAGAGGAAAACGTATACGTCGTGGAATGCTGCTAAAAACGACTACAAAGAGGACAAAGAATTTTGTAAGATAATCGAAAAGAAGATCAACGACTTAAATCTGCTGGCTCCTAAAAATAGCCAAAAATCTTTGTTCAATTATTTCGAAAAGGTAATTTGAATATGTTTTTATGCCAATATTGTATTGTATACATAGAACTATGATTAAAAAGGAAATATTTAGCTCCTGCACAAGATGAATCAAAGTTAAAAATTCAAGCTATAGAGAGCCAAATAACTTCTCTATCGTTGATTAGAGATTGAAACCTTTGAGGGGATGAAATAAATCAAGAAATCAAAAAAGGAAAAATGGATTTGGAAAAAGGATGAGTTGAAAACGACGATTAGAAATGCAAAAAGTCAACAAAAATTTAGATTGAAGGAGCAAAAAAAGGCAAATCCTCAACAAAGACAATAATTGTTGACAACAAAGAAAATATTGAAGATGTTGAAAACTTTAAATTACAGGTGGGGCGCCCACAAAAAGAGGTCCAGTATCCCGATCTTCTCAAAACGATTTCCGAAATAGCAATTTTCAATAGTGCAGCTGATGAACGCTGTCAACCCGAAGAAATAATAACATGCACGACACTGCAAGATTTGACGACAAATGAAAAAACAATCAAATGGACGGATTGTTTTAGCTGATCCATTAAAAGATAGCAAAGATTCATTTTATCCACCACTTTTTCAAAGGTTGTCAATGCAGATAACTTGTGAGGATACCAATTATTTGATATTGCCTTATGATTATCACTGTCACAGCATTGCGGACAGCATAGTCGACAGAGTTTGTTCCTTTTGCGATACGTACTTTGCGAACATGAAAAACGTCGAAGGCCACAGGAAAGTCGTACATCCTTGCCTTAAAGGAAAAAAATTGCCAAAAAAGTCTTCAGTAATCTACAGTAATTCAGCGCCGCGAAAACGAAGCATTATGCATTATAAATGAAGAAGAATCTAAAGATGCTGAATGGAATGATATTGAGCAGCTTATTACGATGGATGTAAGTGAAAGTCAACAGCCAATTCCAGATAATCACTTACCTATCATAAATTCGATAGCAGAATGGCTTATATGTGATTGGAGTGAAGACTTCTTTAATGACTAAGATAATTATTTTTAAATAAATTATTTTTTTTTATAATAATAATTCTATTTTATTGTTGGAAAAGCATTTATAAATTTCATAAATCTATGAGAGCTGAATAAATATATTAGAGAAGTATATTTTATTAAAAGTATGTTAACGCGCTCCCGGGTTGTTTCGTGGCGTTCGAGTCCCGGCGATGGCCCGCGCGTGTGTCAAGGATGGTGGAGGCGGGAAGGCGGAAGAAAAGAAGCGTCGAGTAGTTAATTAATGATGGGTCTTTATTTGAGTACGACTCCGAAATAACGTCTCCGTCACGTGACTCGATCGAACTGCTGTGGCTTGCCACGCGAGCGAGTCCGCAGGCCGCTTGCCCCTTCTCTCGGGCACATGCAGGGCCGTGCGTGACTGTGCCTGGCCTGCATGTACGTTGCCGCTAACAATTAAATTTTAGTTTATTTTAATTTTTACTATTTTTTTTCAGGAAATGAAAAAAACCCATTACGCTTACTATAAAAAGGGGGAGGGGGTAATCAAAGTATTACTATCCATGACATGGCAGGGGGGGGTATCAAAAAAGTTAAAAATTCTCCTTACGTAATTTATGGAAGGCGCCTAGAAGAGTTCTGAAGTAGAAATGTTAAACAATCAAAAAGATTTAACTGATCTTGTAAAACTACACAAGATCTTTAAATAAAATTTTTTCATTACTGAGTCTAAATAATTATATTTACTTTTATTATTAATATTATTATTATTCATTTAAAAGATGCACGATAGGGTCTAAGTAGTTCGGCGACTTGGATTTTCTCATGCATAAATAAAATTGCTTCATGGGGGGCCTCACCAGGAGGGGGGAGGTTCCAGTTTTAGCGACGCCACTGCCAGTAGTTTCTACGTATGAGTGAGGATTACATATTACAATACTCGCTGGGTTGTAAGCCACGTCCTGCTGAATATTTCATCATGTGCTTCAATTTAATAATGTTGTATTTATCTAACATTAATTAATGTATTGTTAAATCTAACTCTAACTCTAACTCTATTTATAAAAAATTTTGAACCGTTGGAACATCTAAATAGCTCATATCGATACGATTTTTTCAGAAAACTGCGGACTTTTTAGATTTTCGATATCTTTTATCAAAGGACCCCGGAGCATAGAAATAGGGTTGTGGGTCCCCGTCAAATCGCATGAAAATTTGCAAATAGATAGATTTTGACTTTCTGAGCAAAAGTCAACATTGGCGCAACTTTGTACAATTAGCCGTTTTTGAGATAAATTATAATAAAGTCATGAATTTTTGTGTTTGGTCAACATAACCATTTTTCAGGCGGCAAGCGCAGTTCACGAGAGACGCATCGATTCGAACGAATTGAGATTGTTATTATAACCAAAAAATACATCGAATATCATAATGAATATACACGAGACGAAGACTTGAAATCATAAGAGCTAATAAAAAAAAAAATTACTAAAGTA